ACACGCAGCCCGTCACAGCTCCCGCTAGCCTCGGGGCCATGCTTACAAGGCACTTGCCGACCGGCCATGTCTGCTCCTCCTCCCTCAGCAGCTCCTGGAGCTTCCAGTTCTTCAGGAACTCGGTCGCTCGAAGCAGGGCTCCCCAGGAGGCCTGCAGAGCAGCAGAGACTGGGAGGTGGTGGGGCAGCCCAGGGCACAGGGCCTGCGGCCCCTGCACCCAGGCAAGGCTCAGGGCCGGCCGAGCCACTTCCCTCAAGTGACAGAAATCCTCACCTCTGCCACCAGCTGGTTCTCGTCATGCAGGTGGAAAAGCAGTGGGAGCAGGCTCTGGTGCACGTGTGTCTTCAGCAGCTTTCTTCTCCCTTCTGCTTCCAACTCCATCATGTCTTCGATTAGCTGAATAGAGAGCCCGCATCAGCCCGTTATGAAATTAAACTTGTGTTGACATCGCCGTTTTACCACAGCCATCCCTTCCTGGCTTGGATATCCTGCCTCTGGAGAAGCTGCCACATCAAGCTGCAAACAGCTATGGCCGTGCACCTGCTTCTGCTTGCTTTGTGACTGCCGTATCTCATTGTGGCGTGCTGCCATAGCGGACATCTCCAAGAACAAGTTTTTCAGGGATCCCCACACACAGGCAGGCAAGTTTGTGCAAACAGGAGTCAGTACTGAAGAGGATACAGAGGATGATCTACTTGTTTTAAAGGAAACTCCATCTGTTGTGTTTCTTTGGATTTTCTCCTGGTATAATATACTGTGTGATTAAATTAATAGCAGCCTGCCCATGGATTGGTAAGAGGCTACACCTGCAGTGTCGTCGATGTTCACCCCACGCCAACACTGAGGGAGACAGAGAACTTCCCTTTCCTCCACTGCCACCTGAAGTAAGCCGATTTACTTGCTTTTAACGTCACTGGTCCACAAGTCCATTTTTGGTAAGAACTCCCTGGAGCTGTGATCCTTGCCCCTTCCTCCCTTAACAAAACATGGATCAAAGCACCCAAATCCCATAGGCTTTTCCTGCAATAATCAAAACTGCATGTGCCTTTCACTTCTGTGTCTCTGTTCCCAGCTTCCAAGGTGCAGGGTCTCAGCTAAGCTGACAAATATGCAGCGTGCTTTGTTGATGCTTCCTTCCTTGGTTGATATTCTCCAAACTGGAAGAGATTTAAAGAGTGATAATCAGTTGGCCAATATAGCTGGAGAGCTTCCATTGCTGCCTCAGTGCCAGCAGTCTACCTTCCCACACATGAGGCTTTAATCTCATCAGTGTTTACTTTCTGTGGCTCAGCTGACTCAGGAAGACTGGCATTTATCATCATGTCTTAAAAGGAGAAAAAAAAAAAAATTTAGGATTTTACATTTTGTCTTCGTTCAATATAGAACCTGACAGCTAGCAAAGGGTTCTGTTAATTTTAACAAGGCTTAAAAGCCAGAGCCTGTTCTGAGAGAGGAGGCTGCCATGAACATACGTTTGTCAATGGAGAGATCATGTTCACACAGATGTCTGAACTATGGGCATGCGTTGCTTTGAGGATGGCTCCAGCCACGTTCTTCACCTGGATTCTCCGTCTGACCCTTTCTCAAGCCCCCATTTCTTCATCCTGCAGGGTTCTCCCCTTTGTCCCAGTGGATCAGACAGCAATCTCCCCACATACTGCAGGCCTCTCGTCCTATGGCCCAAAGAGACGAGGAGACAAAGTACATCAGGTCAAAGACACCTCATCTGTAGCACAATAAAAGCATAACCCAGAAGACCTGCACCTCCTCAGCAAGGCATCGGCACTGGTGATGATGCCAAAAGTGGGGATACTTTGGGCACAATTGCACATGGTTTGGCAGAAGGCTTGGGGAAAAGTGGCCGTAAGGGCTTTATGTTGACTTTCCAGCCTCATAGCAACACTTAGCAGCTTGAGGTACAGCCTGTCATCTTGGCTGCCTTTGACAGCAGTGCTTGAGGTCAGACTCACCTTCCACAGTCAAATGTCTCAAGCCAGCTGCATCTGCGCCATTGTTAGAGGCTGTGATGAGACCCGCGCCTTGAGGTGCATCTGCTGTATGTCTTGTTCATGCAAGCACCTTAAAAACACGTGCGTGATCTTCTAAATTCTGAATCCGATACTTACTAGGAACAAACCATAGCAGTGCTGTTTTCAGAGGAACTCTCTCAGCATACTTTCACTCATAACCCAGGCTGGTAGGTTGCAAACCCGTGTAGCTTTCTCTAGGATTTCCTGATGGTGATCCTTCTTACAGGACCCTTCTTCTCTCTCTAAGCTCCAGAGGTGGATAGGACATGGTTGGGAAGAGGAACCTCACTCTGCCCCTCTGAGTAACTGCACAATAGGAACATTGCCCAGAAACCGGGATATTCTGCACGCAGCTTCCTTTCCTGAAAACAAGAAAGCCAGCTCTGCAACAGTGCTAAGTCCACAACATACACTGCCTGTAGCATCACACCACAAGAGCCACAGGGCACATAAGAAATGTGGGGGTTTGTATGCTCTAGGACAGGAGGGAGTAGCAGACACTGAAGAAAAGCAGGGACTCATGTGGATGAGATTCAGTGATGGAAGGAAGTAAGCATATTGCTTTGCTCTGCTTGAGAAGATGGGTCACACTGGGGTGCTCTAGAGACAAAGCCTCTGACAGCAACATGGGGTGAGCTTACAAAGCCTTCGAAGATGAACAAGAAAGTATCAGAATTGTGTGTGCATGTGCTGAGTTTCGTATCTGCTGAAGAAACGGCCCAGTTCACAAGCTCAGACTTTGCTGCTAGAGGATCATACTCCGGCCCTACTGGAGGCCATTCCCCGCCAATGCATGGCCATCCATCGTTCCCAGATCATGTCTTCTGGACCTGTGGGAACAAGTCTTCCCAGCACCCATCTGGCATCACAAATTGGTAGAACATGTCTGCTTCCAGCACTTCTGTCTGCTGCTCCTTCAGGGTGGTGGGGCCATAATTAGAGACACAGAACAGGTTCTCATCCCAGAGCTATATCCACCTTCTGCACTCCCCAAAGTAAGTGTCTCCCTTATCATTCATCAGGGAACTTCCGTGTTCATGGCTGTACATTTCCTTGCTCAGCAGGCATCCAGTTTTGTTTGGATATCAGCTGCTAGCAGCAGCTGAATACACAGCAGCTGGAGTATTGAACACCAGAGACCAGGGTTCTTTTTTCCCCACAATGCAAGAAAAAAGCCAAAAGAATGCAAGGAAACTTGAAAACATCTCTGTACAAGTCTAAGTGACTTGTGAAACTCAGCAGCTCATGATATTTTTGTGCTGCAGATAGTCACTTCCATGAAAAATCATTCCAGGAAGGAATAACAGCTTCTGTATTCTGATAGATACCAACTACTGCCACTGGTTCCTCCAGTTCCTCCTTACAGCGGCCACCTGCAAGAGTCCAGACATCAATGCGCTTTGGCTTTGGCTGCCCACTTACAGAGAAGTCACCCAGGGGCACAGGTCTTTGGGGCAGAAGATGGGTACCACAGTTCTCAAGAATCAGTGAGGTGGCAGGTCTCCTTCCACAGGGGCACATTCTTCACCATACCTAGTGATTTCAGTACACCCAAGGCACGCGGTGTCAGATGACCATTCAGGCACTTGTCCATTTGGATATACATTCCTTGTACGCATTACAAATAACGTGTTTACAATTATAAGCCATGACTTCTTTCAAGGAGGCCATGCCAGCTTCTGTGGAAGGCCTCCTCCTTGGTGAGCCTGCTTAGGCAGCCATGGGTGCTTCTTCTGCTGAAATGAGCAGGCAGCAGAGGGGCCTCTCAGCAAGGTGAGTGTTTACTTATTTTTTGAGCTGTTACTGGGGTTCATTTCCAGCTGTCTCAGGCAGTTTTGAGAATGGATCCTTCTCCCAGACACAATGCAGTCGGTGAATTGCAGCCTTATCTCAGCTGGAGCTGGAGGGGACGGGTTGGGGGAGATGGAAGCAGACACTTTGCCTATACTTGGCTTCCTGAGACAGTGTTTAGAGCACTCTGCTGTCACATCAAATCAGAGGAAGATGCCATGAACCGCTAACATCATTCCCCAGAGGGTGATGTGCTGTCTTCTCTCATGTTCATCTCTTAAGCTGCTCCTCAACCATGGCTGTAAGGAGGACACCAGAGCTGGAGAAAGGCCACCTACTCTTTAAAGTCAGTCTTAAACAGAAGGGAGGAAGGCTGTGTGCATCTCGGAGCTCTCCTTCACCTCTTCATAATGATGTAACCACACTCTTCCTTTTTTCAATAATTAATAGCAACATTAATAAGGGCAATGCAAGAATAACTGAGGCAAGCCGCATGAGCATATAGGACCGTGCATTAACAGCAGTACAAGGGAACACCTTTTACTGCATTTGCCGTCCAGCCTGACTCACAGCCATATTCTTGCTATAACCTGCACACATCCAGATGAGTGCAGTATTTTCCAAGGCACTATGGTGCCAGATTTCCAAAGCAACTGATGGTTCTGGTTCACTCTGGTCTTGGCTGCCCAACTCGGAAAGTTTTTAAAGGGCCCAGTTTTGGAAAAGCAGAACCACCTTCTCCAGTGAAGTGACTTGGGTTGAACACCTAAAACTCAAGAGTTCCTCCCTGTTCCCTGTGAATAAAACCAGTCCATATCTCCTCTCATGCTCACCATCCTCCCTCTTCACCTAAAACTACTGGAGTCAGATGGCAGCTAACCCCAAGACTGCTGATGAGGAGCCTCTCATCATCACTGTCAGGACCCTGAGGGCACTAATAGGCCTTGATGGCCCTGACCAGCCCCTCCACTGGGCCCTGCACCCACAGCCCCATCTACTGAAGCTCAGCTCTGGATCTTCAGTGCCTGACCTATGTGGCCGGAGTGCCAATCTCCAGCTCAACTTGCTCCAGTGATGTTGCCTTGGCTGTCTAGATATCTAGGCTTTCCCTCACCCTCGCTGTTTCTCCTGTCCATGAGGTTGCTCTGGGAAGCATAGGAAAAGCCTGTGTCCTCTCCTTTTCCTTTCCTTTCTTTCCTCTGCTGGATCTGGAGTTCAGCTCTGCCTGTATTTTGGCAATGGCCTCTGCCTGCACAGGGGGCCCTTGTTACAGTGGATTGCACCGGAGCAATTCACAGTCACTGTGTTTGACCTGCAATGCCATGTGCTGGCCAACACATGTTGTTCCATCCAGTTTTATTTCTCCCAAGTCCCATATCCAGTGTCCCCATAACCAGCACTGGGCTACAGTGTTCACACTGGCGATGGTTAGAGGTGTCCCTTCTGGCTCTGATCTTAAAGATGCAGAAAAGCCATATGCATGCGATTTCCCCATATGAGGCCTTTGAAAAATAGCTCCTGTGCTTCATGGAGCACTATGTTTTATTCATGAATCTGCTGAAAGACTCGGGTCTT